CGTGGTGGCACAAGCCTGTAGTTCCAGCTACTTAGAAGGCTGAGGCAGAAGAATCGCCTGAGCCCGGCAGATTGAGGGTGTGATGGCTTTGAGAGTGCCACTGCCCTCCAGCCTGGGTGACAGGGTGAGACTCCAACTCAAAAAATAAAAATACAGCTGGGCTCGGTGGCTCAGCCTGTAATCCTGCGCCTTTGGGAGGCTGAGGTGAGTGGATTGCCTGAGCCCGCGGGTTCGAGACCCGCCTGGGCAGCGAGACCTCATCTCTACAATAAATTCAAAAAACCAACCGGGCGTGGTAGCACATGCCTGTAATTCGGCTACTTGGAAGGCTGAGGCGGAAGGATCGCCGGAGCCCAGCATGTTGAGGCTTCGGTGGCCGGGAGCGGCCACTGCACTCCAGTCTGGGTTACAGAGTGAGACTCCAACTCAAAAAACAAAACAAAAATAAATAAATAAAAATAAAAAGTAAATAGGATCAGGGAACCCAGGATGGTTGGGGAAATCAGTCTCCTAGGTGGAATGGTCAAGAAAGGTGTCTGAGGTGGCAGCCTGGTGCAGTCAGGGGGAAAACCATGCAGTGGAATAACCCGTGGAAGGACCATCTGTGTGGTCAGAAAGGCAGCCATGGGCCCCACAGACACCAGTACTGTGCTGCCCACTCGTGCCTGCACTCGGTACCTATTTTTGTTTCCCAAACTCCATCTCTCATTGGATCCCAAACTGTAGGCAGTGACCACAGGGCCTTTGTAAGATATGAAAATAGCTAGGGACTATCTCCCAGGTAGCATTTCTACATATAACCTTCACAAACTCCCTAACACATACAATTGTGTTTAACATTAGGGGCTTTAAACTTCTGCCTGAGTTAGGCATGGTGGCTCACACCTGTAATCCCAGCACCTGAGGACGCCAAGGCGAGAGGATTGCCTGAGCCTAAGGGTTCGAGATCAGCCTGGGCAACTTGGCGAGACCTTGTCTCTACAATAAATAAAAAAATTAGCCAGGTGTCGTGGTGCACACCTGTAGTTCCAGTTACTTGGAAGACTGAGGCGGAAGGATCTCTGAGCCCAGCAGGTCGAGGCTGTACTGGCCATGAGAGTGCCACCGCACTCCAGCCTGAGCAACAGAGTGAGATTTCAACTAAAACAAAAACCAAAAAAACCTCTGCCTTCAAGGAGAGGAGACCCTTCTGCTTGGCAGGTGAAGATACCAGTGAGTAGTGGGAGCAAGTGGAAGGCCAGGCCTTGTCCAGGGCAGGGAGCCGGCCCCTGGAGAAAGTTTGTTATACACCCAGGCCCTCTGCTTGTTGTCCTGCATCTGAGCAGTGCTCACCAGAGCTACCCAGCCAGTCGGCTGGGGAGGCCTCTGTACCTCACTCCTCCTCAGAGCTAGGGAAGAAGGGGCTGGTTTCCTTCTCCTTTCCTCTCCACCCATCCCTCAGACCAGTCCCTATAGCCCATGTTGATCCCCACCTCTGCACCCAGTTCAAGCCGCTCCTCCCTGCCTATAATGCCTGCTTTCCCCCCACCCAAGTCCCACTTCCTCCTGGAAGCCCAGGCAGCTGATCTAACCTCCACTGCTCTCTCCCATGTCTAATGATACGTTATATTGGGATGATGCCAAACAGCTTACCAAGTGCTTTCTCATACATTATTTAACTTTAGAACAGCACTAGCTAACAAGTATTAAGCACAAACTATAGGTAGTATATATGTATATATGTTAATATATATGTATTAACTTCTCATACTGACCCTATGAAGAAGGCTACTGTTATATCCCTATGTTACAGATGAGGAAAAGCCAGAGAGGTTAAGCAACTTTTTAGGTAATGTGTCTGGCTTCAGAGTCTGCACTCAGTCACCACTGATCTCAGAGGTTGAGTGAACCCCTCCCTTAGAACAGCAGCTAGAGTGTAGTCAGGGCTGTGCTTGCCCCACTATTCTTGAGATGGGTACCTACAGCCTTTTACATGCTGTTGGGGAAAGGCTGTATCACATGCAAAAAATGTGGGGTTCCAAGAATGTCAGTGACTTGCCTACAGTCACACGAACAAGCAACAAAGCCAGATGCTGCATCCAGGTCTCCTGAGCACCAGGTCAAAAATGGTGACTCCCAGAGGACTGACCAAGGCTGGCATCTCATCACAGATGGGCCGCAAAGGTCACCGAGCAGGGAGGATGGGAGCCCCAACCAAGGCTGGCAGTGCTGCAGATCATGGAAAGAGAAAAATGGGGCACTTTGCTCTGCTGGCCCCCTTGGTCCCAGAGACAGGCTGAGGGGTGGAGCAGGGCTGCAGGGTGGGCCATTGGGGTCCCAGGAAGTCGTTCCCTGCACCACGTCCTCCTCCTGTCCCCACCCGGCAGGGAAATTATTCGCTGTCAGAGCCGCCATCAGATTACGGGGAATTGCTCGTCTCCTAATTATCTGGTGTTAATAGGAGATTAATTAGTGTTAATTGTTGATTTTCTTGTATTTTCCCAAAGGGGAGACCAATCTGCCGAACTCTCAGGCTGTTTAATTATTTGGTCTTGCTTAGGAATCCAGACAGATGCTTCTAGGTTTGTGAGCAAAGGGAAAATTTGGGGACAACAGAGGTGGGCCCAGGACAGACGGGGCTGGGCGGGACAAGACCCTAGGTGGAGACAGAGGTGACCTGCCTACACCCACTGCCCTCTCAGAAGGTGGTTTCAGGCCTGACCCATCTCCTCTGATAACTGATATCTCTATCCTAGGCCCAGTGCTCTGTAACTTTAACTATCCCCCTCCAGACACGACATAGCTTAGGGCAAGGCCCCCTGCCAGGGTGTCAGTGGCACAGGTCTTTAAGATGAATTCACATGGGCTAAATTAATGTAAAGTAATATGTAGATAAGCCGGGCTCGGTGGCTCAGCCTATAATCCCGTGCCTTTGGGAGGTTGAGGTGAGTGGATTGCCTGAGCCTGCAGGTTTGAGACCCACCTGGGCAACTTGGCGAGACCTCATCTCTACAACAAATTAAAAAAAAAAAAAATTAGCCAGGCATGGTAGTGCGCGCCTGTAATTCCAGCTACTTGGAAGGTTGAGGCGGAAGGATCGCCGGAGCCCAGTAGGTTGAGGCAGCAGTGGCCAGGAGCAGCCACTGCACTCCAGTCTGGGCGACTGAGTGAGACTCCAACTCAAAAAAAAAAAAAAAAAAAGAGAGAATATGTAGATTGAAAATTGAGGCCAGATATGGTTACTCACTCCTGTAATCCTAGTACTTTGGGGAGGCTGAGGTGAGGAGGATTGCTTGAGGCCAGGGTTTCGAGACTAGCCTGGGCAACATAGTGAAACCCTGTCTCAACAAAAAATAAAATAAAATATAAATTAAAAAAAAAAGAAAGTTAGCCAGTTCTAGTGGCTCATGACTATAATCCCAACACTTTGGAAGGTGGAGGTGAGATAATTGCCTGAGCCCTGGGGTTCAAGACCAGTGAGACCTCATCTCTACAATAAATTAAAAAATTAGCCGAGCATGGTGGCACGTACCAGCAGTTCCAGCTACTTGGAAGGCTGAGGCAAAAAGGTTGCCTGAACCTAGCAGGTTGAGGCTGCAGTGGCTGTGAGTGTGCCGCTGCACTCCAGCCTGGGCAAGAGAGTGAGACTCCAACTTAGGGAAAAGAAAGAAAGAGAATATGTGAAGTGCTTTCACAGTAGTGCCCGACACTTTCTTGTAACAGAAGGTAGTGATAAAGAGCATTTGTATAAGAAAGGCAGCCGTGGGTATACCCTTTGGATCATATGGCATAACTTGAAAAGACAGATAAGCCAGTTACTGTAGCCTTAGAAAAAGAGACTTTCAAAGTTGAAGTCATCATTATCACATGCTAGAAAAATATAAGATATAAAATTTTGTATTTTTGACATAAATAAGCTCCTTAATGTCCAAAATGTCATCATAAGCCAAACATCACTACAATAAATAATTGGTTCCAATGCTATACTATTTAATAGGAAGTGATTTGTTTTTCACTATTTTGTAAAAAAGTGTGGTTGAGTTGCTGGTAAGTGATCCATGAGATCTCTCTGAGTGCAAAGGACTGATGTCCAAATGTACAAAATTGCTGTTCTTAGAACAATTTCTGTACCATCCAAATGTTTTTGCATCAGGTTCTACTAAGTACAAGTATTCAAAAAAAGGACCATTTTATACAAGTATCATATTAATCATCATTCTAGGCTGATCCAGTACAAAAACAGTAAGAGACTGAATTTACTCTAAAAAGAATCTGTTAACTAAGCCTTTTTTTCTTTGCTGAATGATCAGTGGGCACAGTAATTATCAACGAAACCAAGGTGAGTATGGCATTAATGTTATTCTAAAAGCTGTTATTTTCATTGCCTATTTGCCTATAGTTCCAGCTACTTGGAAGGCTGAGGCAGAAGGATCGCCTGAGCTCATCAAGTCAAGGCTGCAGTGGCCATGAGTGTACCTCTGCACTCCAGCCTGGGTGACAGAGTGAGACTCTGACTCAAAAAAAAGAAAAAAAGAAAATTGATAATAAAGGATGCTTTCACCAGTGCCAGAACAGTGGCTGCTCTTCTGGTGGGAGTGTGTCCTGCTAAGTGGGACCATATCCATTTGTAGATGTTCAGGGGACCTTGAGCCCCATGAAACCGACTCATGCTCTTCCCAGGGAACCCTCTCCTGTGTCCAGGGCATCTCTCACTGAACTAATCTAAGCACTGGCAGGAGCTTCCCCAAATGCTTGCTGCCCTGTTGAAGACCCTTAAATAATGCCCCACTGCCCACATCTGATTCCTTCTGTCTTTTGGATTCTTTATCATCTGGTCCCACTGCCCTCAGTCCACTTTTATTACACATGCATGCACACGTGCACAGTATACACATGCACATATGTGCACGAACACACGTACACACATACCATCTATACACATGCACGCGCGTGCACACACACACACACACACACACACACACACACACACACACACATTTCCCACTGATCTGTGTCTTCACCTTTACCCCTATTTGGACTTTGCTTACTTGCTAAATGAATGACAGACGGAAGGAAATAATCTATGTGCACAAGTGTTCCAGGCCGCATTACAAAGCAAGCCAGAGCACAGGCCTAGGTGTCCTAGGTCCCCTTACCATGGTGGCCCTCTTGCTACCTTCAGCCCCCGTACCTTGGGGAGGGCCCCTGGCCAGACACGGACCGCACCGTGGTTGAGCAGAGCCCGCACCACATGCTCAGGGTTCTGGGCCAGGGCTGTAGGTGGACCCTGCAGAGCACAATGCAGAGCCGTGTGTCCTCCATAGTCCATGGCATTGGTGCTGACACCGCAGGATAGGAGCAGCTCCACAACAGCTGCATGGCCACGGCGACAGGCCAAGTGCAGGGGCCGCTGCTTGTCCTGGTCGGCAGCATCAGCGTCTGCTCCAGCCGAGAGCAGCAAGTGGCACAGCTGGAGGCAACGGGAGGTGGTAGCCTCAGCATCGGTGGAGGACTGATAACAGACATCACAGGCAGCCAGCAGTGGGGTCCAGCCTTTGGCATCACGGGCATCAGGACATGCCCCGCGTCTTAGAAGTAGGTCTGCCAACTCCACATGACCAAGCTGGGCGGCCACATGCAAAGGGGTCTCCTCTTCCTCCTCTGACCGACCGTCCACTCTTGCCCCAAATCTCAGGAGCAGCTCTGCACACCTAAGAGGGGCAAGATGGCAGTGGGGAGGGAAATGGGCACAGATCCCTTGCATTCCTGCCAGTCTGAGCAAAGACAGCATGGCAGGAAGCCCTGGATGGCTTTTGGTTCTGCTCCCCCTGCCCTTCCATCCTGCCTGTCACTGGTCATCCCAGAAACATTCTGCAGGATCAACACGGTTCTCTTTTAAAACCTAAATTCTTTCTGTTGGAATCTTCCACCAAGTCCCTGATGGAAATAAAAGGCACAAGCAGTTATCACTCAGAACAAGTGCCTTTCTAAGGGCCTTATGTGTAGCGACTAATATAATTCTCACAACATTCCCGTGGAATGTTGTAAGGATGGTTGTAAGCAGCACAGGAAGTCACAGTAATGTGTGCACCAAAATCAAAGACTAAGGGGACTTAGTTTCCTTAAAAACAAACAAAAAGGCCGGGCTCAGTGGCTCAGCCTGTAATATCAGCACTTTGGGAGGCCAAGGTGAGTGGATTGCCTGAGCCTGAGCCCGCGGGTTCGAGACCCGCCTGGGCAACTTGACAAGACCTCATCTCTACAATAAATCGAAAAATCAGCTAGGCATGGTAGCACATGCCTGTAATTCTGGCTACTCGGAAGGCTGAGGCGGAAGGATCGCCGGAGCCCAGCAGGTCGAGGCTGCGGTGGCCGGGAGCAGCCACTGCACTCCAGTCTGGGTGACAGGGTGAGACTCCAACTCAAAAAAAAAACAAAAACAAACAAACACAAACAAAAAGCCTGGGTGCAGTGGTTCACACCTGTAATCCCAGTACTTTGGGAGGCGGAGGTGAGAGGATTGCCAGAGCCCGCGGGTTTGAGACCAGCCTGGGCAACTTGGCAAGACCTTGCCTCTACAATAAATTTTTTAAAAGTTTAGCTGGGTATGGTGGCACTCGTCTGTAATTCCAGTTACTTGGAAGGTTGAGGCGGAAGGATCGCCTGAGTCCAGCAGGTTGAGGCTGCGGTGGCCATGAGCATGCCACTGCACTTTAGCATGGGTGATAGAGTAAGATTCTGACTCAAAAAAAAATTTAGTGGCCAGGCTCGGTGACTCAGCCTGTAATCCCAGCACTTTGGGAGGCCGAGGTGAGTGGATTGACTGAGCCCATGGGTTCGAGGCCAGCTCATTCAACTTGGTGAGACTCCATCTCTACAATAAAATTTAAAAATTAAATTAAATTAAAAATTTAGATAGAGACAGGGTCTTGCCCAAGCTGGAGTGCAGTGGCATGATCATAGCTCACTGCAGCCTCAAACTCCTGGGCTCAAGGGATCCTCCTGCCTCAGCCTTCTGAGTGACAGGGACTACAGGCAGACAGCCTCTTTGAGTTCCAGTTTCCTCATGTGTAGAATGGGGGTAATTAATAATATCTCAACTTTACAAGGTTGTTGTGAGCTACTAGTGAGATAATACCTGAAAAACTGTTATCATTAGAGCTCAAAATGGTAGCACTTGGCAGAGTGAGTATGGTATAGAGGGTGATGGATCATGGGGCTCATCATATTATTCTGCCTATCTCTCTTCCTCTCTATATGTTTGAAATTATCTGTCAGAGTTTTAAAATACACTTGTTGCCAGGCACAATGGCTCATGCCTGTAATCCCAGTACTTTGGGAGACCAAGGAGGGAGGATCTCTTGAAGCTGGAAGTTTGAGACCAGTCTGGACAAGACCTCATCTCCCCCAAAAATACCAGAAAAAAAAAACTAGTTAGGTGTGGTGGTACACACCTGTGGTCCCAGCTACTCAAGAGGCTGAGGTAAGAGGATCCTTTGAGCTCAAGAATTTGAGGCTGCAGTGAGCTGTGATCTCACCACTGCACTCTAGCTTGGGCAACAGAGCAAAACCCAATCTCAAATAAATAAAAGATTATCATTCAGTGTGATCTCCAGAAGGTTAGTGGGAACTAAACTAAAAATGAGCTAAAAATGAAAAGGTGTTAAACAACCACCTTGTAAAGTTGAGATATTATTAATACCCCCATTTTACACATGAGGAAACAACTCAAAGAGGCTAAGTCTGCCTATAGTCCTCGCCACTCAGAAGGCTGAGGCGAGAGGATCCCTTGAGCCCAGGAGTTCAAGGCTGCAGTGAGCTATGATCATGCCACTGCACTCCAGCTTGGGCATTCCACAGAACTAAAAATGTGGGATTGTGCGGAACCTGGCTGTCTAGTGGTAGCCATGTATGGCTATTGAGCACTTGCAATCTGGCAAGTCCTAATTGAGATGTGCAGTGTTGTACTTAGCACAGTGCCTGAACATAGGATAAGCTCAGAAAATGTTAAAACTTTAAGTAACACCGCCTCCCATTATGGGTCCAGACAACTTCCCAATGCAGGCCATGCAACTGGTCTTCACAGCCTTCCTCTACCCCTGGAAAACCAGAGAAGGATTCAAAGTCTAGGCCACTCCAAAGTTCACGGGACCAATGGTTGGATGGTCCAGGAAGTAACTGCATCCTAAGCCCCGCACCCAAGCTAGACCGCTCTGCCCCAATCCACTGAGCTTTCTGGCCCCTGATGTGCCCCTCCATCCTCCCTGAGAAGGTCTCTTTGCCTCCCCTCAGAGTGGAACTGGCGGTTGGGGTGAGAGGTCACTCACTCAAGGGCGCCAGGCCCCCTGCAGAGATGCAAGGGGCGTTTCCCATCCTGGTCAGGGATGTTGGGGTCAGCTCCTGCCACCAGCAGCACATGGACGCAAGCAGCATGGCCTGCAGCAACGGCCTCGTGCAGGGCCGTGCGACCCCCAGGGGCACTGTCCGGTCTTGCCCGTCGCCTCAGCAGCAGTCGCAGAACTTCTGTGTGGCCACGGCTGGCTGCCACATGCAGTGGGGTAGTCAGCTCTTCTTCATACGTCAGAGACCAGAGTCCTAAGGAGAGGGGGACACAGGCCTCAGACCCCAAGTGGAGGCAAAGAACTGCCAGCCAAGGAGGTGAGGTGGGCAGGGGCAGGAAGAGGGCCCCCAGAGCTTCATCAGCAGCCTGCCACTCTCCCACTCAGACCCCCCACTGCCCCCGGCCCATACTCAGAGCGCGGATGTTGAAGCAGAAATCCCTCCATCGCTCTGGGTTGCTGGTATCAAAGACAGAATCAGGAGCCAGGCCAGTACTGGAGTCCGCAAGAATGTGGGAGACAGAGCCCACGTCCCCAGCCAGCACTGCCTGCCAGAAGGCGAGGGCAGGTCCTGAGGCTGTGTGGGTGACGATGGGTCTCGGGCCGGACTCGGGGTGCTCCTCAAACCCTTCGCTGGGCTTCTCCACCAGCCTGGCACAGAGGCTGTGTCTGTCTCCGGGGGGCTCTCCCTGCCCCTTGCACTCTTCTGGGGACCAGCTCATGAGCATGTGGGGAAGAGGAGAGGTAGAGGCCAAAGGCAGAGAGAGAGAGAGAGAGAGAGAGAAGGAGGGAAACACAGACAGATGGAGACAGAGGGTCCCTGTGTCCCGAGCTCTGAGCCTGACCTGGCCACGCATCCAGCAGGAGCTATTCTGGGCTCCACATGACTTCATTCCTGGGCCAAGGTTTAGGCTGTTGGGCAAGCATGGGGTGGGGGAGAAACAGCCAGAGGCTTTTCCTTTTCCTCAAGCTCTTGGGACCTCTGTGCCTGAGGCAGTCAGCTCAGCCCCCTGGCTCTCAGTTCTCCAACCCCAGCTGCCCCTCACCCCTCTGGTGGCTGATCCAGCGAGGCTCAGCATCCCGTCGGCTTTCCAGCAGCAGGTCAGCTGTGCTGTGGGGAGGGAACAGCTCCTGCAATCTCACCAGGTTCCCAGTGTAGAGGGCATTCTGCAGGGCCATGTCACGGCAGAGCAGCGGCGATGGCAGAGAGATCCCCCCGGTTGAACGGGACTGAGTCCCCCAGGTCCGGCAGGTAGGGGCCAAGGGGAAGCACCCCAGATGGTGTCTCCAGTGGTGAGGGGAGTTCCTTCCCCTGGGCATGGCTTATTCCCTGTAAGAGAGAGCCAGAGCAGCAGGACAATGCTGCTGGGGACTGAGTGGGTGGGTGCTGGGCCCAAGCCGGGTAGGGCCTAGCTTGGGAGGAGCAGGGTAGCACACACAGGCTGAGTCATAAATAGTCCCAACTGGCCTGGCTGTCAGTACCCTGATGGAACACTCTGGCTGGGAACAGGAATTAGGGAGGGGCAGAACAACATGTGAGGGTGAGCCCTCCACCCCTGAGCTTCACCTCAGGGTAGTAAGACGTCAGGGTCGAAAAGGACCACCCAGATGGTGCTCTCCAATCTGTCTACTCCATCATCTCGCAGATAAAGGAAAACAGAGCCCAGAGAAGGAAATGAATTGCCCAGGGTGACATAGATCACTTGTTGCAGAGCCAAGGCTGGAACTCGGGATCTCACGCTCCTTCTTTTCTGTCACCTGCTTCACCAAATCAGCTGCCTGGGTTCTGATACCGGGAGGGCCTTTGGGAACTGGATAATGTTTCCCACCCTCCCAAATGTCATCTGTTAGCCTTACACCTTCCCACTCCCAAACCCCAGGGAGGGATTCGCAGTGGTGATGAGTGGCGGAGACCAACCTGCTGTATGAGACACCCCCTAGGGGTTCTCCAGAAGACAGACTTCTGCCCAGGGAAACAGGACTCAGACCACAGGCAGCCACAGAAACTCCCTATGCTCACCCTAGGTACTCTCCCCCATGCCCATCCCAGGTGCCAACCCTCCATCTCTTGGATGACCTCTGGATCTGCTAGATGGTATCTCTACCCTGCCATGGTTAGATAGGGTCCACGCTGGAGAACGAGAAAAAGAAAGTACTTCTGCCTGAATATGTCAGGTTAATGAAACTGTTTTTGTTTAGGGGTGGGGAAGGGGAGAAAATGTCAAACCAATCCTCTAGGCTCATCTCTGGCCCACCACTGCCCATGGGCTGGGTACTCCCACCTCAGTGGCCTCACCCTTTGTGGTTCACAATGACTCTTTAAATCAATTATTTTTTTAAAATATATTTTATTTTTAATTGACAAATAATAATTGTGTGTGTGTGATATATATATATATCATATATACATATATATATATATATCACAATGTGATGTTTTGTTACATGTATGAAGGAAGGGATGACCCCCAAAAACCTGGAATGATCTTTTGGAGGGTGGTCCCCTTGTAGTACACTTGGAATTTGTTCCTCCAGATCAAGCAGTCAACCAAAGTTTTAATTTTTTTAATTTTAATTGTTTTTAGTAGGAGTCTCATTCTGTCACCCAGGCTGGAATGCAGTGGCACACTCATGGCCACAGCAGCCTTGACCTGTTAGACTCTGGGGATCCTTCTGCCTCAGCCTCTCAAGTGACTGGAACTACAGGCATGAGCCACCAGGCCTGGATAATTTTTTTATTTATTGTAGAGATGAAGTCTCACCAGTTTTCCCAGACTGGTCTCAAACCCCTAGACTCAGGCAATCCTTTTGCCTCCGCCTCCCAAAGTGCTGGGATTACAGGCATAAGTCACCTCACCAAGTGCAAAGCTTTTATCTGGTAGTTCTGAGAAAGATGCAGAACAATTGTCCCAAGTTATGGCAAACAGGTGACTGGTTCTTCCTACCATGATCACGCTGAGTATTCAGGTTTTGACCAAAAATGGCTTGACTCTATTCCCCAGCTTCCCTATTCACCCGATCTCACCTTGACCAACTTTTTTTTGTTTCCCTGGATGAAAAAAGTCCTCAAAGGAAAACATTTTTGTTGATGTGGAAGAAGTGAAACAAAACAACAACAATAAACCATCAGAAGCACTCAAAGGCATCAAAATTGATGAGTACAAAAACTCTGAGCAGTAGAAAAAGTGTCTCAATAGGTGTATTGCATCAAATGGAGGGTACTTTGAAGGTGACTGAAGTTTAAACATGAAAGAATAAATACACAATTTTTTATAAATAAAGTCCAGGGTTTGTTGAACCTCCCTCATATATAATATGTAATAATCAAATCAGGGTAATTAACATATCTATCACTTCAAATGCTTATTATTTCTTTGTAGGGAAAACATTAAATATCCTCTCCTTGGGGGGCAGGAACCCAATATCAATAAGGGTACCTGATCTCAAACCAGGCAGAGTGGGGGCCAAATGGAGGCCCAGGCTTTACCTGTACAATGTCCACTTGTAAATCTAATCCTGAATTGGACCCCACATCTTTAAAATATGTTTTAAAATTCTCTCTTTTAGCTATTTTGAAATACACATGATTGTTAACTATAGTCACCTTGCTGTGCAGAACACCTGCACTTATTCCTCCTATCTAACTGTAATATACCCAAGACATCTCTGCCCAGATCGATGTCATGGAGCTTTCCCCCCGTTTTCTTCTAGTGGTTTTATAGAGTTTCAGCTCTTGCACTGACTATTACTACCTGAGGACACATCTTGACCTTTATTCACAACTCTGTGCGTTTTCCGTGGGTCTGCCTCTTCTGAGAGAACTCTGGGACTCCCCAGCCCTTGGTGGCATGGTTGTCACTGTCCCCTGAGTTTCCCAACCCACTCACCCTGAGCTACTTTCTCCCCAGCCAGGGGGAGCACACAGAAGGACTCTCACCACACGGGCAGGAGGCTTTATCCTATTGAGCCCTGAGGGATGGGCTGTGGTTCAGAGGATGAAGTGCAAAGCTGGGGCAGGCAGGGTGCCAGGGGGAGGTGTCTTTGGAGGAAAGAGGTGGAGACCACTCAGGTAAGGCATTGGATCTACCAGCAGCCCTCGCCCTGGTCACAAAGCTCCTCTGTTTCCCTCTACCCTTCTTGAGCCCTCACTCCCATTCCACCCCCGCCGCTGCCCAAGCACCTTCACCTCTCTGATTTCCCAGAGACTTTGCCAGAATAATCAAACCCTAGAGTAGAAGTGACCTTACAGATCCCTGGCTCCATCTCTCCTCACTTTACAAGTAAGGAAACAGAGGCCCAGAGACAGGAAAGAACTGCCCAGATCACACAGGGAGTCCGTGCTTAGTGGAGTTAGAACAAGGAACAATTTCCTTCCAGACTCTTGTTTTGGCTTTTTCCATACTGACTGTGGATCTTCCTTCTCCCCTCTCCTTTCCTCTCTCTCATTCTTTTCTCCCTTAAATACCTTGAGGATGAAGGAAGCTGGGAAGCCAGGACAGGACAAGGATAAGGCGATAAAAACATGTGGGAGTGGGAGCTAAGGACAGGAATCTGGGAGCCAGAGCAGGGAGACTGCAGTGAGCTGGTAAGGGCCAGGACCCTGGAGACAGGTGGGGTGCCAGGCAGGGCTGGGCACAGGCGGGAACACAGAGGGAGGGATAGAAAGACATGGACATGAATGGACAAGAGCTTTTGTTCCCAAGCCATTTGGGCATTTATGCCTCTGCCCTGGCCCTTCACCCCTGGGGTACTACCCCATCCCACCCACGAATCTCAGGCACCCACAGGCCACAGTCATCACTTCCTTTTCTTCTTCTCCTTGGCCAGCTTGGCCTCCTCAGCCTCCAGCTGGTCCTTGCTGAGTTTCATATTCTTCTTGCCCAGAGGAGTCTTGAAGTACCAGTCCTGGGTTGGTGGGGAAAGGAGACGCAAGGCTCTCAGATCCCATCCTTACCTCACCCCTCCCTTTTTATAGACCCTGTTTCCTCGGCAGCCTCTTCTTCCCTCCCCAAGCATCTGGGGGTCCTGTTAGAGCTGGGGTTCTCCTTGCTCCCCACTGAATACTCCAGGCCATGGTGTCAGTCATTCTCAAGGGCAAGCCCTCCGCCCTCCATGGCTGCATCCCCCTCTCCTGGGCTCCCAAGGCCATCCTACCCACCCAGGGATTGGGCACTGCCACAGAGGTATGGGTGCCAGCTGGTGCCAGAACAAACCAAAGGCTCCTAATATCTAGGTGGCTCTTTCAAGCTCTCACCCTCAGGGAAACTAGGTAAGATGGTCTACCCACAGACCCTACCCCTTGACCTTCCCTGGCGACTTCCGGCTCCCTTCCCAGTTGAACATTCATTTTGACCTGATCATCTTCTGGTAATATGGGGAAGCAGGGAGACGGATCCAAGGTGTGTTTTGGGAGGATGACTCCCCAAGGGAGTGGTGTACTCACTGCCTCCACCCCTGCAGCCTCACCTTCAGGGACTCCTCCTCCTCTCTGTACACTGGCTCTAGCTTCGCCAGATGTCCCAGGAACTCGGAAGCCACCAGGGACCGCTTGGACAGTCGCAGGAGCCGCCGCTTAGTCAGCACAGATTGGATGGTTTGGAGAATGTGACCAGGTGTGTAGCCATCGGAGACCTTGGCCAGAGCACTGATGTCCAGGTGCTGGGTCACCTGGCCTCCTTGGGTCTCTATCATGTGCTTCCAGAGCACTGCAGGCATGGGGGAGGACACAGGGCATAGAGGGGCATTGGGTACCAGGGTAGGGCGGGGCATCAAGGTCTGACTAACCTCTGCCTTGATCTGGAAAGAGCTTTGTGCTTCTGGAGAGCAGCTTCTCGCTCCCTGGGAAGGCATGGGACCCCAAGTGGAAAGGGTCATCTTCCCAACTTAACACAAGAAAATGGAGCCTCGGAGGATGCCAGCAACCTGGCTTTGGCAGGGGCAGCAGTTCCTGGACCCCTTCTCTGGCTGTCCCCATGTCTCCAGCCTCACCATAGCGAGAAGCATAATCGGGCCGGGGCATCAGGAGGATACGCTCATAGACCCGGCACAGGCCCCGCATGTCGGCCAGCTGTGGCTTCTCAGTCGTCCCGATTAGCATCACGCGGTCTCCAGGCATCAGCAGCTTCACGGCCTTGGTGAGGTCCTTCTTTATTCGTTTTGGGTCCATCTGCAGCAGGGAGAGAGGACCGGTGGGGCCAGGACACAGTGACTGGGTATATGGGGCTCCTTGAGTTCTCAGAGCACCCCTAGCAGGGGGTGGGGAGAGACTGTCCACCCTGCTTGGAGACAAGAAGATAAGGCATGAGGAAGAGAGGAGATGTGTCCAAAGTCACAGAGGGTGAGGTTTGGCGTGACTTGAACAAGCCTAAACCTTCCGGCCTTGCCCTGAACCTCGTCCTGGGCTCATGCTGCCAGCCTACACGACCTTCATGCCCATGCTTCCTCACCTCTCTCTCTTCTTTTGGGACCTTCTTATAGAAATTCTTCTCAGCATTTCCAATCCAGATCACAGAGGGCTGTAGGAGCCGGGCTACCTAAATGGGTCAGAGAGTAGAAGTCAGTCACTGGATGTCCCTGAAGAAGGGTTACATCCCCACCTGGTCAGAAACCAGGATCAGGGCTGGCCTTGGACAGTGGCTGACTTTAGAGCCCCCAGCCTCCACTCCCACATCCTGCCAGCCCCACCTCCCACCTGTTGCATGTGCATCACACCTTGGTGTGAACCTGAGTAACTGCCCCCCATGGGAAGGGAAGACACTGCATATTAAGCCTCATCTTACCATGAAAAGGAACTGCTATGTCTCCCCACTTCTCCCCCCCCCACCATCACAGGGGCTTCAGGGGAAACCAAGCTCCCAGCAGCGGTTGGTAGGGAGACCTCACCAGTTCAGATCCTGAAATCACACCAAATAAGCCGATAGGTGACCTCTTAGGCATTAAGCCCACCCTGCTCTGTTGTCACAGATCTGAGAACCAGAAAGCCAAAAGTCGGGGAGCTCCAGACCTTAAAGACCATGTGTACTATCATCTGCGTCCCATTCTTGCCAGGATATTTGCCCAGCAGGTTGCCAGGTGACAGGTCAAACAGGTTGGCACCAGTTTCTGTGCATACGGCCTGGACCAGCATCTTCTTCCCCATGCCAGAGGGGCCTACCAGGAGGATAGAGCGGATGAGGGGAGCCATGGCGTGGATATCTGGAGAGCCTGAGGAGAAGGAAACAGAGGCCAGAGGCAGGCGATGGGCCAGCAGCAGGGGTCAGGATTGGAGGAGACGCTGTGTGAGGTCGGGCCAAGGGCCTGGGGTTGGGGAGGAGGAGACTCAGATCACGGTTATACTACTTTTCCCCAACACCTGAGCAGTTCCCCTAGGCCTGTGAGCTGTGTGAACCTGAGTAACTGCCCCCCATGGGAAGGGAAGACACTGCATATTAACAAGAGATTTGAAGGGCTTAGTGATCTCTATTTATTTATTTATTTTTGAGTCGGAATCTCAATCTGTCACCCAGGTTGGAGTGCAGTAGCATGCTCATAGCCATGGCAGCCTTGACCTGTTAGGCTCAGGCCATCCTTCTGCCTTAGCCTTCTAAGTAGCTGGAACTACAGATGTGTGCCACCGTGCCCACTTAATTTTTTTTTAATTTATTGTAGAGACAAGGTCTTGCCATATTGTCCAGGCTGGTTTTGAACCCATAGGCATTCCTCTTGCCTTTGCCTCCCAAAGAGCTAGGATTATAAACATGAACCATGGCACTTGGCTTTTTTTTTTCTTTTTTTGAGTTGGGGTCACTCCATTGCCCAGGTTGGCTTGCGGTGGCATGCCTGCAGCTCACTGCAGCCTCAACCTTCTGGGTTCAGGCAGTCCTTCCACCTTAGTTTCTGGAGTAGCTGGGGCTATAGGCACTGCCACCAAGCCTGGCTAATTTTGTAATTTTTTGCAGAGAAAAGGTTGTCTAGGCTGGTCTTGAACTCTTGAGCTCAAGCAATCCTCCTGCATCGGCTTCCCAAAGTGCTGGGATTACAGACATGAGCCACTGCACCCAGCCATGATTTCGATTATGAAGAGCTAGCTGTATGTACAGTCAGGAGGGAATCTGCTGGGCCCTTCCAATGTCCTTTCTGTTTTCCATACCACCCACTTCCACTTCTGGATCACAATGGGGTGGAATTAAAAAGCATGCGATAAACTGCTTCAGAGACATCTCTAGCTCTGTAGCTAACGGGGGTGCCAGGCTGGTCTTCTGGGAGTGGGACAGACTATGGGTTGTCACTTGGATTGAGTAAAGGGTTGGTAATGTGGGCTTCTCAGGAGGTCAAGGGCCCACATGGTTTATGGAGTGGTTCAATCTGGGTGTGACCTCCAGCAGGGCCTGGGGAGGGCAGGAGGACCTGGGGATTGGAAGCCCAGGCTGAATGTGCCCGCCTCAGCCACCCTACCCTGCAGTCCACCCGAAGGGCCACCTGCCCAGTGCTGGCTCGTCACTCTCCCCAGGGTCTCTCACCAAGCCGAAGGACCGCATACAAGGCTATGTTCTGCCGTATGTCAAACAGGGAGGGCATGGGCAGCTTGTTTGCCAGAGTCAAAGTGGATCCAAGATAGAGGCAGTCACCTGAGGGGACAGGTGGCCACCTAGTGAGTGGTAAACAGCCTCAGGGAAGGTGTGACCGCTGGGTCAAGGGTGGTGGGAGTCTCAGGCACCATTCCTCAGGCTGGGAGCAGGCGTTAGGAAAGGGGTCTCACCAATATAGTCTTTCAGTGTTACTGTCTCACTCTTCTTTAGAAAGCCAAAAGTGACAAGTTCTTCATACAGTGAGTCCACAGACCTGGCAGAAGATGACACAGGAAGACCCCAAAGACATTAACAATCAAAGACAAAAGAAAATGGAGACAATCCTCAGCAAAAAAAACAAAAACAAAGCAGGAGGTATCATACTTCCAGACTTTAAACTTTATTATAAAGCTACAATAATCAAAACAACCTGGTATTCGTACAAGAACAGACATACAGACCAATGGAACAGGATAGAAATTCCAGCAGCAAAACCTCAATTTCTCAACCAACTCATCTTCGACAAAGCCTCTACCACCAATCACTAGGGAGAGGAGAACCTATTCAGTAAATGGTTCTGGGAAAACTGGCTGACCACATGCAGAAGATTAAAACAAGATCCCTACCTATCACTATACACAAAAATCAACTCTAAATGGATCAAAGACCTAAATGTAAAACCTCAAACTATAAGAACCTTAGAAAATGCAGGCGACACCATTATGAAAACTGGAACTGGCAACCAATTCCTGATCAAAACCCCAAGTGCCCATGCCATAAGAGATAAGATAGACAAGTGGGACCTCATCAAACTGATAAGCTTCTGCACAGCCAAAGAAAACCAACATTCAAGAGAGCGGGGAGACAGCTCACAGACTGGGAAAAAATATTCGCCAACTGTATGTCTGACAAACCCTAACATCTAGGATCTACAAGGAACTCAAATGTGCCAAAAAGAAAAAAAAAAAAAAAACAGCCCCATTACAAAGTGAGCAAATATATGAATAGACAGCTCTCAAAAGAAAACATACAAGCAGCCGGGCTCAGTGGCTCAGCCTGTAATCCCGCGCCTTTGGGAGGCTGAGGTGAGTGGATTGCCTGAGCCCGTGGGTTTGAGACCCGCCTGGGCAGCGAACCTCATCTCTACAATAAATCAAAAAATATCAGCCAGGCATGGTAGCGCATGCCTGTAATTCTGGCTACATTGAAGGCTGGGGCTGAAGGATCGTCGGAGCCCAGCAGGTCGAGGCTGCGGTGGCTGGGAGTGGTCACGCACTCCAGTCTGGGCGACAGAGTGAGACTCCAACTCAAAAAAAAAAAAAAAAAGAAAAAGAAAACATACGAGCAACCAATAGATACATGAAAAAATGCTCAGCCTCACTAATCATCAAAGAAATGCAAATTAAAACTACACTGAGATACCACCTAACTCCAGTCAGGATGGCTATCATCAATAACTCAAAAAACAACAGATGCTAGAGAGGATGTGGCTAAAAGGCAACACTTCCACACTGTTGGTGGGAGTGTAAACTAGTACAGACTCTGTGGAAGACAGTGTGGCGATTCCTAAAAGATCTAAAAATCGACCTTCTATATGACCCTGCAATCTCCCTAGTGGGAATATACCCAGAAGAACTCGAATTACTCTGTGAAAAAGATACCTGCACATGCATGCTTATCACAGCATTGTTCACAGTAGCAAGAACATGGAACCAACCATACCACCCATCAAAAGAAGATTGGAGCTGGGCTCGGTGGCTCAGCCTATAATCCCGCGCCTTTGGGAGGCTGAGGTGAGTGGATTGCCTGAGCCCGCGGGTTCGAGACTCGCCTGGGCAGGTGAGACCTCATCTCTACAATAAATCAAAAAGTTAGCCGGGCGTGGTAACGCGCGCCTGTAATTCTGGCTACTCGGAAAGCTGAGGAGGAAGGATCGCCGGAGCCCAGCAGGTCGAGGCTGCGGTGGCTGGGAGCGGCCACTGCACTCCAGTCTGGGCGACAGAGTGAGACTCCAACTCAAAAAAAAAAAAAGAAGATTGGATTTTTTAAAATGTGGTACATCTCCATGATAGAATATTATGCAGCCATAAAGAACAAAATCATGAACCTGGATGGTCTTACAGTCCATAATACTGAGTAGTCTTTCACAGAAACAAAGAACTGAGTATCACATGTTCTCACTCATAAGCGGACCTTGAACAATTAGCATAATACTGTAAGAAAAGGATTGACAGTAGCAGGAAACAGCCAGGATGGGGGTGGGGTAGCGGGATTAGCAGTAGAGGGAATCTGCCTGGAGAAGGGGAGGCACACCTCATCAACAAGGGTACCTGCATAGTGAACATCCGTATACCTAATCCTGAATTGTACCCCACATCTTTAAAATAAAAAAATTATAGGCTTAAAAAAAAAAGAGAGAGAGACCCGCCTGGGCAACTTGGCAAGACCTCATCTCTACAATAAATCAAAAAATTATTAGCCGGGCGTGGTAGCGCGCGCCTGTAGTTCCAGCTACTTGGAAGGCTGAGGCGGAAGGCTCGCCGGAGCCCAGCAGGTCGAAGCTGCGGTGGCCGGGAGCGGCCACTGCACTCCAGTCTGGGCGACAGAGTGAGACTCCAACTCAAAAAAAAAAAAAAGAGAAAGAAAATGGAGACAAAGATGAGGGAAACTGTTGGCATGAGAAGAGGGGATAAGTGGTCCTCCTCCCCAACATTCTGTGGTCAAAAAACGTCACCAGGCTTGGCAGCTCACGCCTGTAATCCCAGCACTTTGGGAGGCAGAGTTGAGAGGATTGCCTGAGCCCAGCCAGTCCAGACTGCGATGGCCATGAGCATGCCACTGCACTCCAGCCTGGGCAACAGAGTGAGACTCTGACTCAGAAAAAAATGTCTAGAGTGCTCCTGGTCAGACAGAACCAGAAAGTGCAGCACCAAACTACTGTCCCAGAGGCAGGCCTCCCAACGTGGGTGCTCTGTGAGAGGGATGTGGGAAGGATGGTGACCTCTGTGACATTCTCTATCAGTCTGCTCACTGCCCAAAGGTCCACCATTGGAAACTCAGTCACGCTGGGCACAGTGGCTCAAGCCTGTAATCCCAGCACTTTGGGAGGCCAAGGCAGGAGGACTGCCCGCTCAGGGGTTCGAGACCAGCCCGGGCAACTTGGTGAGACCTCGTCTCTACAGTAAATCAAAAAATAAGTCAGGCGTGGTAGCACATGCCTGTAGTTCCAGATACTGAAGTGGAAGGATCGCCTGAGTCCAGCAGGTCGAGGCTGTGGTGGCCATGAGCGTGCCACTGCACTCCAGTCTGGGTGACAGAGTAAGACTTCAACTCAAAAAAAAAAAAAGAAGAGGAAGAAAAGAAAGAAACCCAGTCATGAGGCTTAATTGCTGCCCTCTTTTTAGAAACCACATTTGGGATGTAAATCCTCCTGGGAGGGGCAACCATTAAAGTGGCTAACATCAATGTGCTCATGACCCCTCTTTGCCAAAGGAGTCAGCAGAAAGGGGCCACTGATCAGTCCCTCAATGCCCCGGAGTGAGAAGTCCAGGAGGAGATGGCTTTGGCAGCGACAGAGCTAATTAAGGCAAAGGCTTAAGGGAGGATCTGGAAGTGCTGGAGCCATGACCATAGAGTTCATCTATATGTCTTATTCTGCATTATCATTTTCAGAGTCCTTTTTTAGGCCTTTACTTGAACCTTATGGCTATCGCAATAGTTTAGCAGGACAGGTACTTGGCGAATGAGGCCAGGGAGTCAGAGAGGTGAAGTGACTTTCCCAAGGCCACATAGCAGCAGAACCAGGACCAGCAGTCAGGTCTGTCCTGGAATGGGACTCTCTATACCACCACGACCATGCAAGGTGGGAACGGTAGGGTCTACTACCTGTCTGGGGTCAGATCTTTTTCCTTCTTCTTCCCGGTTTTCTTCCCAGGCTTTTTCTAGTTAGGAGCAAGAGTATATATAGATCATTGTGTTCTGTGCCTTGGCTTCCGCTGTGTGCCCTCGCTGCCCAGCCCCAGCCCTAGCCTCTCGTCTCACCTTTGGAGCCTTAAAGGGTCTTTCCTCCTCCTTGTCCACAGCCAGACGCAGCTTCTTCAACTCCTGGCGCATCAGCTCATCCACCTGGGGGAGATAGCGGAGGGATGTGGCAGGTGGGCGAGGTGAGGAGGCAGGAGGCGATGGAGAGGAGGGGAGGAGTCTCACAGAAGACCAGATGAGCCTGGTAAAGGCAGTGGAGGCAGCCCCTCTGCCATCCCACATGTGCTTATGCACGTCTCCCTCCCTTCCTGCAGCGTCCATATCCAGCACTAATCTACAACCTGCTTTCCCATGAATCTTGCTCTCAATGATCAGCAATGTGAGAAGAAGCCCTCAAGATGGAGTTCAAGCCTGAGATCCACCCCGTGTAGTCTCTGTGACCTGGGGCAGTTATATAACCTCTTAGCTTCAGTTTCCCATGTGTATGATCCAGAAAACTATGGTACCTCCCTCATGGGGGTCTTACAAAATATCACATGATTGAATATTCCTAAAGTACATGCTAAGGGTGGAACACGTTATCAGAGAGCTCCTGAGGACGGTGGTGTGTGGACACCCAGTGGCAGGCCCAGTCTGACCCCAGCTCAGAGCCCCTACCATGCCTTCCACATCCCTGCTGTGTCAGGCACCCCAGGGAGAAAGGGGGACCAGGGGGAGGCAGAGGAAGGTAAGGACTGACATGGGCAGCAGGTGGTGGTAGGGCCATGTACGGAGGCAGCGAGGTCTACAAAAGATGAGCTGGGGACCCAAGCAGGGGCACTGAGGATAAGAGGGAGGCAGATAGATGGGCAGGGAGGAACCTGGAGTGGGCTGGAGGTGCCTGGCATGGAAACAGGATGCGGAGGAGCAGCATGCACGGAAGCCCTACCCAGCGCTCACACCTGTATCCGAATCTCCTGCTCTACTTCCTTCCTCTTTGCCTCTCGGAGGGTCTCAGAGTCAAAATTCTCACCAGGGTATAGACGGTCATACCGGTTCTTCCACGTGTCTAACCGCAAAAGATAAATGAATGCGTGAAGGTCAGAGTTCCGGGTGTACACACACATGTGTGCACACACACACACTCATGTACACACACAGGCCAGAGACGTGGTCCTGCCTGGTTAACCTGTCCTCACCCAGCCACCTGGCACTGCTTCTACTCAGACCACAGAAAGAAACTTGACACCCAATGCCTGTGACCACAGGATTCAGACACAGACCCATAACACCTCCATCCAAGGAATCACACCACCCCTCCCTCTCCCTGTGGTGTTACTCTCTCAGGCTACACATCAACACTGCTACCTCCTGGTCATGTGGCGGATCCCCACTTTCCCTAGGACCCAGGGGCCCAGACCCCCAAAAGGCCCAGGTTTCTCCTTACTTACTTAAGTATTCTTCATGACCCGCACTAATCACAGAAACAAATTTGGATGGCAACACTTGCAGCACTGTATCTGCTTCCTAGAATAGAAACATCCTTTGACCTTGACCCCATCACCTCCACCTATCACAGACTCCCACCCTGATTTTACCTTGACCAGCCTTCCTACCTCGACTTTTCCCAGACTCTATTCTTTCCTACCCACTCGCTACACATGTCTGGGAGGTATCTTACCCCTTTCTTGGCCTTTTCGTCCTTTCCTTTCTTCTTCTTCTCTTTTTTATCCTTTTCTTTTTCCTTACTTTTGTCTTCTTCCCTTTTTTTGCCCTCCTGGGCCTGTAACTCCAGTTCCATTCTCACCTGTGACCAATGACAAAAGACATTTCAGGTTGGACACAGTGGCTCACGCCTATAATCCCAGCACTTTGGGAGGCAGGCAGGAGGATTGCTTGATCTCAGGAGTTCAAAACCAGTCTAGGAGCGGGTGTGGTGACTCATGCCTGTAATCCCAGCACGTTGGCAAGAAGATTGCCTCAAGACCAGCCTGGAAAACTTGGCCAGACCTTGTCTCTACAATAAATAAAAAAATAAGCTGGGCGTGGCTGTGCATGCCTGTGGCTCCAGCTACTTGAAAGGCTGAGGCAGAAGAATCACCTGAGTCCAACAGGCAGAGGCTGCAGTGGCCATGAGCATACCACTGCACTCCAGCCTAGGGGACAGAGTGAGACTTCGACTCAAAATTAAAAATAAATAATTGGGTGTGGTGGCGTGCACCTGTATTTCCAGCTACTAGGAAGGCTGAGGCAGAAGGATCATCTGAGCCCAGCAGGTCAAGGCTGTGGTAGCTGTGATTGTGGCACTGCACTCCAGCCTGGATGACAGAGTAAGACTCTTACTCAAAAAAAAAAAAAAAGATGTTTCAGAGAAGAAGTAAGTGGGCCAAGGGTTTATCCCCATGGCCAGGGTGACTGATGTGGTTAGGATGGCTGAGAGCTCAGGCACTCCACTGGGGTCCAGGGAGAAAGTGTGCCTGCCTGAGAAGGAGGGTTCTGATCAGAGTTGTTGCTCTCTGCTGGACCACAGGGATCTGGAGCCACAGCAATCTCTCCAGACATATTTCCTCTCCCTAGCCAGGGATGCCTTCAGTAGCCACAGGTAAACTCCTTGCTTTTCTTCCCCATGCCATCTTTCTTGTGATCTATATTCCCTCTGGCCACCTCTGCCTTCACTGAGGTTAACCCCTCCCCCAACCTCACTGACACTGTCAGCTTACATTCACCACTCTCTGTAACCTCAGGCTTCAGCTACCACAGAAAACCTCCAGTCTCCACCTCCAAGGTACCTGTTCGGGAGTTTTGTCTGCAAAGATCAGGGAGGATCCACCTAAAGACTCATCTGGATAATCAGGGAAACGGCCGGTGAGGGCACTAAAGACATAAGATGGAGAAATAGATGCATGGTTGGATAGATGGACAGATGGAGGAACAGGGGATGGGTGGGTGGGTGGATAGATGGATGAAGGGAGGACAAAAGGACAAGTGGGTGGGTGGATGGATCGATAGATGTATGGACAGATCGATGGGAAGGTGGATGGACAGATGGATGGATAGATGGATGGACGGACGGACGGATGGATGAACAGATTAATGGGTGGGTGGGTGGATGGAAGGATAGACAGACTGATGGGTGGGTAGATGGATAGAAAGATGGAAAGATTAACAGATGGGTGAATGGATGGATGGGTGAATGGCTGGATGGATGGATGGGTGGATGGATGGATGGGTGGATGGATGGATGGATGGATTGATGGGTAGGTGGGTGGATGGAAGATGGACAGATTGATGGGTGGGTAGATGGATAGATGGATGGAGAGATCAATGGATGGATGAATGGATGGATGGATGGATGAACAGATCAATGGGTGAATGGATGGATGGAAGGATGGATGGATGGATGGATGGATGGATGGATGGATGGATGGATGGATGGATGGATGAACAGATGGTTGGGTGGATGGAGAGCTGGCTAGAAGGATGGGTGGATGAATGGATAGATAGGTAGAGAAAAGGGTGGAAAAAGATAGGAGCAGGGAGATAGAAGGAGAGAGAAGGAATGAATAGTTACAAATGGAAAGGGCAGATTGCTCAGGGGGCATCCACAGATGCTTTCTCCAACCTATCCTGGCATTTTCTCTCCCCTCATGGAAAGGAAAAGTCAGGTGTGATCCCATATGTTGGAGCCCAAGATTTAAACCAAGAGTTTTAGCAATGTGTTGGGGGACTAGGGGCGGATGGAGAAAAGGGCCAGATTGAACAAAAGGGCAGAACAGGCATGAGGATGGGGTAGGAGTAGCCTCTGGGGACACCGGGACAAGGAGGGAATGAGAGATTAAGGGGAAGGTCAGCTGAGGCTGAGGACACTGACTGGCACTCAATAAACCACTGTCGGATTTGCTCCTTCATTTTCTCCTTCATGTCAGGCCCCTCTGTCTCTGTGAGAGAGTCGTGGGCCTTGGCCATTGCCGCCTGGAACTCCTCCTCCTTTTCTATCTGGTGGAGCCTCCGGACATCGTCTTTCAGGGTGGCCTGGAACATGATGTTCAGGGGCTCCACCTGGCTGGGCAAGGGGAGCTGGGGGAGTGGAGAGAGAGGTTAAGGGGCTCAGGTGTGGGAGTGGGAGGGCCAGCATCTCATCTGGAGTCAGCCCCAGGCTTAGGCACACACATCTGCCCCCAGTTCCTACCCCAACGCCCCACAAACGCGAGGCCTCACACACCCACACAGAACAGTGGGCATGCCCGTGTCAGGAGAAACTGTGTTTGGAGCTGAAATTCATCTGTGTAAATTACTCTGATAATGAGTTTGCTAGACGCATCCGGACTGGCCCCCCCGCCGCCCGATCCCCCAACACACCCTCCCCTGGAGCCTCCAGTCCCAGCCCCCGCCCGCACCCCCACCCTGCGACCGAGTTGGCAGCCGCTCTCGCAGCCACTTTCCCGCCTCATTGGCTCCCAAATGTATTTTAAATATCACTCTGCACAGAGACAATTACTGAAAACGCTGAGCTCACACTGTTGATGGGCCTGGGCGGCCAGGCTCATTCCTCACCCACTGCTGTGCCACGGCCCCCTCCCCACAGAGGCCAACCCCCGCCTTCCTCTGCCTGTTTTTGCTTCCTGGGGGTCCAGCTCTCCAGCCTCCAACAAGTCTCTGGCCTGAACTCCCATGCAGAGCCCCAGCTCCTCCCTCCTCCTGAAGCCCCAGGCCTCCAGCGATAGCCAGCCCAGCCTGCCAAGACATACCGGCTCTACTCTGTGTGCTGCCAGCCCTGGGCAGGCTCCCTTCCCTCGAACCCCTCCAGTACCCAGCTCAGGCCCCTCCCCAGCTACCTCAGTCAGCCAGGCCTCCATAGGCTCTTCCCAGGGCAGAGCCCCTCTCCCAGAAAGGCTGACCCTTACCCCTGGCATGGCCTTCCTTTCCCAAATCAGTGGAGATTAGTGGGACAGGAGAGCAGTCAGAGAGCAGGGGACAGACAGATTCAAGGAGCAGGGCCTACCCACTCTGCCTGCACACAGGCACATACACAGGAGCCTCTGCCTCACCACCTGCACTCCCCCATGAGTCTCACACTCACACTGCACAGTCCATACTCCTCTCTGTAGAGCAGAGGAAAAGCGAGTCCAGAGCCCCAAGAGCAAGTGGGGAGCCTGTGTCCCAAAAAGCCCTGGTTTAGGGAGCATGTCCCAACACCAACACAGCTCCTGGTGGTTCCCCAAGGCTACAAGAGGTTTGGAGGCCATGTGGGTGCTCCCACTGGCCTTGTGACCTCCTCCCTCTGCTGGCCCAACCATGAAGCCCCTCCTTCTAGCTGGGGCAGGGATATGGGGTCCAGAATGCTCTGCGCTATACCCCTCACCCTGCTCCATGTGAGATCTTTCCAGGGGTTCTACAAGAGGGAAGGATATAAAGAGACACGGCTCAGTGGCTCTCCCATGATCTCCTCCCTGGTGTGAGTGGAGGGCAGCGTGCGTGGTGTGAGGCCAGAGAGGGGCTCTGGGGCGGGCCCCCTGCCCTGGCCAGCCCTGTGCTCCACTGCCCCTTACCCCTGGCATGGCCCCGGTAGCCAGGGTGGGCTCACCATGCCAATGAACTCCATCTCTGTTCTCCGGTCCCGCTGAGTTTGTCTCCTCTGCAGGTAGCCCTTCCACACCTGGAGGCAGGGAGGGGACAGGTGGGACACAGACACTTTCCACCCTGCATTTTTGCAGGGACACGGCTCAGGGGTTCAGGCCCTGGGAAGAGGATCAGCTACTCTTTCAGCGAGGGCCCAAGAGGGTCATGGCTAGAGGAGTTTAGGGTGGGGTGGGGGAGCCCTGGGGAAGGCCAATCAGGGGAATGCTGAGTGGGAACAGTCCGGAAGAGGGTGGTTTGGGGTAGCCATCTAGCTCCAATGCCCCCCCAGAAATTCCCTCCTTCCCATCTCCACTCTAATCTGCCGTATCTTTTGAAGCACAAGTCAGAGCTCAAGCACCGCTCCTTCCAAGAAAGGTTCCCCACACTCCTGGTCAGAATTCACAGAGTAGTTGGAATGAATATTTGACTCTGCCCAGGCACACAGACATCAGCACTGTAGTGACCATGGAGCTCTTTGAGTTAATCCTACATTTTTGACCCAAGGGAACAGGCCATGACCTCTCTTAGGCCCAAGAGCCTGTCAGTGCAGATCTGGAGTCTTTCTCCCAGGCCCAGCCACTTTTAGACCCAAGGGCCACTCAGATCCTGCTCCCGTAGCAGGCCAGAGGATAGGGATGGTGGGCAGAGGAAGGCAGGGCTAGAGCCAACCAGCCCTTTTCATCTGTTTGGTGGCAACTCCAGGAGTAGGGGCTGGCTCCTGTACTTCTTATCTGGGCTTCACCCTCCCAGTTCTCCCCCATCATCCCCCACCCCCTTGACAAGGTCCTCCATACATTCTTTCGGTTTATCAGTGTTCTGGGCGACTCTTAAGACTAGAGAGCAGTACTCCTGTACTCTTGACATCTGGCAACAGGCACAAAATACTTGGTTTGGCTCTCAGGGGATGTGAGCTTCTCTATCTTTGGGGGCCCATTCTCCTTTTGTACTTCTTTTTTTTTCTCCATAAGAGATAAGATAAACAAGTAGGACCCTTTCTTTTTTGCTTTAGTGAGCCCTGCAGTCAAGAACTTCCTTCTCAGCTGGACACGGGCACAGTTATCCCAGCCTAGACAGGGATGCTTGGCGTACAGATTAATAATGTACAGTCTATCCCATTTGGATCTATCCCATTTGGAGAGGCTATATCGTCACAGAGTCATTGTTGTTTGTCAGTTGGTTGGTTTGCTTTTGTATTTTTGTATGAAGGGGTTCTAAGTTTCCTCTAGGGTTCTAGAAGTCAGAAGTTTTTGAGGTATTGGAACTTGAGAGAGAGAATGGAAAAGGAGGTGGGCTTGAGAATGAGAGCCCACCCCAGGTTAACAGTTTCTGGAAAGAAAAAGTGGCAAGAGGCTTCGTGGGACAGGGCAGGGCCAGTGGCCTCAGGGGCAGCAACAGCTTGGATTTTCCCAGGGCTCCTCCAGTCTCTGGTTAACCATTACCACACCTGGAGTCGACTGCATTCTAGGGACTGATGGGGGAGGCCACGTCCACACATTGGGGTGGACAGCAAAGGATGGCCCAGAAAGGTGCAGAGTGGCTGTCCAGAGCAAAGGAGAGGTAACAATCAGGGTGTAAGAATGCTCTGGGGCGGGCGGGCGG